GAAGTATCTGTATTACTCTGTAGATGCCAGAGCATATTCCAAGATCAACAATAATTCCTTATTTACATGTTTACCTCTCACAGCCAATGTGAATTGTTGATGTTTATTGTTGAACTTGTTCTGTGGACAATACAAACTCATGTCCATTTCGCTTGTTTGCAACGACAGTTGACTCAGATAAGAAGCAAATGTTCCAACATCCAAACAATGCGGTTGAGCTTGGTGAGAAATATAGAACCATACGAGAGATCCTCCTGGTCTCTCTACATATATCATATCTTATCAGATTGTTGAATTTCCCGATATCACGGAGGATGATACCGATTGATGTTACACCTACGCACTGTATTTTCAACTCTAAAACGAGTGTGAGGCACAGTACGAAATCTCTTCCCCGGAAAAGCCGGCCGGAGCGGCAAATTTCTCCGCGCCGACTAACACCGAGCTCGCAGTCCAAATCCAAATGCCTTGCATCATCGCCGTCGCCAATCTACTTTTTGTAGTCGATACCCCCCCCAATCTACAACAAACACACCAAATGTCTGTCGCTAGCACAATTAAAGGCGACATGTCGCAGCAAGTTCGATCACTCGTGAGTTCCCTCCCCGCGCACAGCAGAGGGAATTGCCGCCCTTCGCAGGGATGATAGTGCACCTCTCAACAAATATTTTTGATCATGGCTAACGGCTCTTTTTTGCGCAGTACCGCCAATTATTACGGCAAGGTTCGCAGTTCTCTGCGTACAACTTTCGCGAGTATGCGAAGCGACGGACGAGAGATGCTTTCCGAGAACACCAGGGCGAGCAAGATAGCCGAAAGGTGCAGGAGTTGGTTCAACACGGAATTAAGGAGCTTCAGGGCTTGAAGGTGCGTGGTGGATACATGTGTGTGTCAAAACATGGGCGAAATGCTGACAGTGAGCAGCGACAAACAGTCATCAGCCAGTTCTACCAAATCGACCGGTTAGTCGTTGAGGGTGGTATCTCGGTAGGTCACATTCACAGAAGGCATATAACTGGTATCCTAACTTCTACCAGGGAAAGCAGACTGGCAACAACCAAGAGATTCTCAGACAGAAGGAGCAGGGGTAAGTTGGAAAAACGAAGCTATCGCCACCAGTTGCATTACTAATTGTGTTTTCCCAGTTACGACTAAGATGATTCACCGTCACGAATTTTGAAACGACTGGATAAAATATAAAAGAGACAACTCGAGTGTACAGTAGCATGGGTTTGGGGGATAATGTATATGTATCAGATACCAAGGATCAAAGGCGTCAACGAGCCATGAGGAGTACCTTCAGGTTGGAGGGAGCGTACCGGGGCTCGAATATTAGACGGAGAATCTCAATCCTGACTCCATTTCGCCTTTCAATCGTCTTGTCCAATGATTATACTGGTTTATGTGGTTTGCCGATGCAGTGGAAAGGATACGTGAAGATGCATACTGGTGCATCCCAGGAACGCTCAAAAAGCCTGACATGAATAATAGCACACGCTTTTACAACAGTTTTGAGCCATCTACAAGAGAAGATAACACTCTTAGTAACATCTATCTGTACTTAGAAGGCCGTTGACTCAAGATTCTTCTAAAGTGTATTACGTCAGCGGGGAACGGTGAATTCAATTGGTCAACCAACAATGACATTTGACAGCCATCGCGAATCGCGACTCAGCCTCGTACAACTAATTCCCGAACTGTATATTCTACAACGTCGCAAGCATACCAATCGAATTCGAGTATAGCATTGGTTTTTGGTCATTATCATAGATAGTATACGAGTCGATTCCGTCTTGCAGTAGCGATGGCGCCTGGAGTGAGTCCCCGTTTGCTTCCCTGGCGCATACAATACATCACTAAACTTAACTAGACGCGTCGCGCCAACAGAGCTGGTTACGCCGAGCATGACGATTTCGAAGGTATGATTATTTTTAGTTCGCCCGACGACGCCTATTGACATTTCAAAGGTTTGCCCGTGCGACAATGGCGACAAGAATGGATAAATGTTGTGCCGCCGCAACAGCAAGAACAAACTCAACAAAACGATATCTGGTCGATCGATCTACCCCATGGCATGCCAAAGGACTCGGGTCTACTCCCAACACACACTCAGGAACTACTTGCTGCCGCGCGATCTGGACGATTGTATAAGAGGCCTGCGCCAGTGGAAGAGGAGGAGGGTGACGCTGATGCTGCTCCCGAGAAGCCAGAGAAGAAGGATGAAGATACGGGCGCCAGAGGATTCAGTGTCAAGGTCTGGAAGCAGCTGCCACGAAACCTCGATAGCTCTGGTGTGTCGCACCTCGCAAAGCGACAAAAGAATACCGTGACAATCGCCAGTCGAACAGTCGAAGAGAAGGTCCAGGGACCAACGGTTACAAGGGCGACTATTAGGAGAATCGACGCCGCTGGAAACCCATATACAGAGGAGGTCACACTGGGCGAGGGTCAAAAGGTTCAGGGCGAAATCGTTTCTACTAGAATCGAACCTGCGCCTTCCGCTGGCTTAGAGCCTCTTGCTACGACACCTGTTCCCAACCGGCGAAGGCCTCCACCTCCTAAGAGAAAGACCAAGGCTGGTCCTGGTCGCGGAAAGAAGAAGATCAAGAATCCTCTGCCTGAAGCTGGAGCTCCTATCGCGGCACCCGCTGGAACTGCAGATGGTGCCACCCCTGCTGCTCCCGTCAAGCCTGAGAACCCCACAGAAGCTGTACGTTGGGATCTGCAGATCTGTTCTACCCTGTTACTGACATTTCATAGGCTATCAAACAAGAGCGCGAAGACTCGGCCAATCGGGATAGTTCAATGGTCGATGCAGATGATGACGATGACGATGAAGATGGAGAAGATGACGAAGGCGATGAAGGTGAAGAGGGAGACGGAACACCAGCTCCGGCCAGCCAAGCGGGCGGTGAAAACAACAAACAGCAAGATCACGAAATGACAGACGCTGTCCCCACAACGACTACTGAGTCCGCTCCCACCCCGCCTCCTGCTCCTGAGCCTGCTCCAGCTGAACTTCCTGCTGCCCCTACGAATGACGACACGGACGTCGTTATGGAAAGCGATTCTTTTGAGCCCGCACAAGAAAGCGCTGCAAATCTTGCCCCACCTACACTCACGCCTGAAGAATCAAGGGTTGAAGGCAGTCCTCTCAAGAACGTTGTCATGCCTTCACCTACAAAGGAGGACACAGAGCAGATGCTGCAGGAGTCGCTTCATGCGCCTTTTGCGGACATTGACGAGACTAAGGAGCCTCAACTGACCGAGGAAAACCTCAAAGAGGCATCTCTGGAGCCCCCTGTTCATGACAACGAGCCTCATGCGTCGGGAGTTGATGAAGAGCACATTCTGAAAACGGCTGTGAATGCTGCGTTTGGGGTTGAACAACCACCAGTAGTAGGACCTGGAGCTGAACCTGCTGAGTCAACTGTGGCCGAGCCGCCATCAACGGTTGTCGGAGAGGCCCCTGAAGCTGCGACCGATCGCGATATTCCCATGATGGAACCAACCGATAACGAAGCGCTCCTGCCTCCCCCACCCGAAGAAGTTGGTAATATCGCTGCTTCACCTCCGGGAAGCTCTGGCGGACAAGGACATTCTGCCCCTGGAAGTGATGCCAAGCTTCCCTTTGACATTCTGCCTGGGGAAGAAGCTCTCCCATCAAGGCCGCAATTGGAACAGAAGGACACTGGCTTGACAGAAGATAGCATCAGACCCGATGACTCAGCTTCAATCACTGCACCTGTCTCCGACGTTCCTGATGTTCCGACTGCTCCTCCCTCAGTCGTCGAGCCCCCAGCAGAGCCACCTGCTGAAACTACCCTGCAAGAGTCTGTTGTAGAGGAGGCCAAGTCACCAACGCCGCCTCAACCAGAGATCAAGGAAGAGTCTATCCCTCCCGCTGTTGAAGACGTTGTCAGGGGAGAATCTCCTGATATGATTGCCAGCTTGATGGATAAGCTTGATCAAGAGCATGCAGACATAGAGGGCATTAAGGAAGATCTACCAACTCCATCGGTGCCCGCGCCAGTGGAAGAGCCCGCCCCTGAAGCTCCTGCAGAGATGGACATTGAACCTCCTGTCGAATCCGTTGCCGAGCCTGTTGCCGAGCCTGTTGCCGAGCCCGTTGAGGCACCTGTCCTTGAGTCTGGACCTGAGCCTGTTGCTGAGACTGAGGTCCAGCCAACTGTCGAGGCACCTACAGATGCACCCACAGAACCAAAAGCTGAGGTAACCCCTGAGCCAACCACAATACCATCAGAGGTTCCAGAAGCACCAGCCGATGAGCCTATGGTTACAGAGGAGGAGAAGCCCAGTGATCCTGTCCTTGAAGCTCCTGCTATGGAAGCTCCCACAGTGCCGGAGCCAATGGAGACGGAAGCAGAAAAGAAGGATGAAGGGGTGGGGAAGGATACCGATACTGCTTAGAATGATGTTCTTGGAAGAGGTGCCTATTCACTGTCCTGATTGGTTGTCGGTTTTGGGCAACGTCAACAAGAGATGGAGTTTGTATAATACGGTTATTTTCAGGGCCAATTAGCTCTAATGATTACATGGACAACAGGGAATACAAATCATGTCTATTCAGAGTATTGCATTGCAAGTGACCAAAGTAAATACATAATTCTATCCAAAATACAATTCCAACTAAGAGTCCAGAGTCTGTCCCTGAAAACTGGCTACAAGAACCATAAGAGTCGAAATTAATGAGTCAGTTCAGGCCATTTAGACCAAGCTCTTGCACTGTTTGTTCTTTACAGCCTGAAGCTTGGAGGTTGATGTTTTTTGTTACACACTGAGCCTGCCATTGACAGTTTGACTGACACTGGCACGCAGCTGTCGCAACAAAAAATTAGGAACTGAGAGCAGAGGAGACGAACACATCAACACTCTCATATATTTCTACGTGGTACGGCTGATCCAATCTTTTCATCACCCACCAAATCAGTACTGGATTTTATTCGACCTACCTTCCTCCCAGCTGTGCCTCATCAGAGATGGCAATAATCACGTACGAAATCGACTCTGGCGGCGATATTGAGCTTGTGTTGGAATATCTAAACAAACAAAAGATCGTGCCAATCATCACATCCGGGGGGTGGGATGACTACCATGTACCCAGGTATGACGGTAATTGTGTCTTGCAAAACCCGACCCTTGTTGAACGATATGCCGTCTTCAACATTCAACAAGACGCTGAGGATAAGACTACCGAAGTTCGGATGCGTGTGTCCTCGCGACACTTGATTCTCGCCTCTTGTACGTTCCGCACTATGCTGGAGGGACCATGGTGTGAGAATCTCTTACAGGCTTCTCACTCCCAGTCTGGTCCTGTTCAGATCAAGACTACCGACTGGGACGCCGCCGCGCTGGCAATTGTAATGGATGCTATCCACGGGCGTTATCAGGATATTCTAAAGGATATACACCCAGGACTGCTGGCCCGGATCGCTACCGTAATCGACTATTACGCCTGTCACGAAAACCTTCAGCCCATCAGCGACATATGGATGACCGGGGTTCGCGGAACATACCCAGTGCCTGATGTCTATTGCAAGAGCAGCCTCGTGTGGCTCTACATCTCCTGGGTGTTTTCAAAGCTGGATATAATGCTTCCTATATCCAGGATGCTCCTTCGGAGAATCTCGGGCCTCTCATTCATTAATTCGGAGGATCTCCCTATCGGCCATATTCTCGGTTCGTTATGATTCCAATGCAGACCCATCATGAATACAGCACTGACATAGCACAGAAAAAATTGATATCAAGAGACAGCAGTGTATCGGAAGATTCATGTCCGGTTTGAATGCTCTCCGCAAGCAACTTTCAGACGAGGAAGGCTGCCCTGTGGCCAAGAATCCCTACTGTTCCGCCACGATGCTTGGGATTTTGATACGGGAACAACAAAAGCTCCGTCTTCTTGACCCGCCTCCCGCCGCTCCATATAGTGGCTACAACCTCGCATTCTTCATCTCGGCAAGTAATGCTTTCCCTTCATCAAGACCGGACAGAGGGAAGGACCGCCAAGGCCTTTACAAGTACAAATCCTGTACATGTATTATTACTTGGCGACTGACGTACGTTGGCCTGGAAATTGGGAAAGACATCAATGGATACGATTTGACTGTTTTGCAGTAAGGCAAAATCATGGTCGTGGACTTGTCATCACGTTTAGTAACAGAAGAGTCTGTTCCCCTGGCCAGGGGATAGAAGTTATGATACAGAAAATAAACAGTTCAAGATCAGGTCCCGAACAGCATAAAGTGACAAAATTATTTTATCGCTTAGGCAAGTTGGCAACAACTAGTCTTCTACTCCTTGATACGCTTCTCCTCTATAAGATCCTTCAAGTATGAGTTGTCCAATACAAACACGCCAGTATCCAAGTATCACCAACCCATAACTTCATTCATTGTTCACTCAATCGGTTATCCACAAAAGATCATATCACAACTCAACTCGTCCTTCCTAAAGTCATGTCGCCATGTTATTTCATTCACAAGCGCTTTATTTACTTGATTTCATCACCTCAGCCATTTATAGCCTCTTCACCAGCATCAGTCATCAGCATCAACCACAACCGCAGCAGGCATCTTGGGCCTTTTGATTGAGCGATGAAACACATGGAGTATGCCATCACGATTTCGAGGAGATTTAACAAGTATACTGTGAACATTAGTGATAGCTATTCGAATGACCAGATTTGGAGAAGAGATATCCTTTGTGAGTTTGTGCGCGAGTTCCCATCATGAGACCGCCCCACGCGTAGTAACAGATCCCGTGCCACTAACACAACTCAATGTCTTACAATCCAATATGTATCTGAACCTTGAACCTGCACCTTTGTAATTAAAATGATGAGAAAAATCAAGGCTTCTTCGGAACTTTCTTTGTTTCAGATCAAAATCCCGTCTTGGGATGAGTTCTCATGTAGTGGTCATGCGGGTGGAAATTGAAGAAATGCCATCATCGAAATCTGCCAAGAAGGGCATGTTGAGATTATATATATACCACCGTATTTACAGTATGGTAGTAATATCTTTAATAACCTTCGCCAGTTTCTTGAGATGATCGATGCCCGGCAGCTGGTACTTAATATGGAGGTCCGTTTCGCATGTCTCCTGAACTACCATCCACTTACACCAAACAGGCCCGATCTCTCATCCCATCATGGACCGATACTCCCATCCCGAGCATAACCCTCTCCGCCAGCGGTCTCCTCGTCCTAGCTGACCTCCGCACAATATCCCGCAGAACAGCTCTCACCGGCGGTGCCTCTTGGGTAGACGCCTTCGTCCTCGCCCCAGGTTTACACTACCAACAAGCATGCAACGATCTCGAACGCGAAGCCCCCGTCGGCTTAATGGCCCTTTCCACACAAGCACTTGGAGAAATGCAGTACGCTGTGAAGAATACAATGACGGCGAGTTATCTCAAGAGTTTATGCAAAGATGGTGAGGACAGCATCACTCTAAACGTGGGGATAGACACACCGTTGGATGTGGTCAAGTTTATTGGAAAAGTACTTGAAAGAAAGAAAATCGCCGATGAGGAGGAAGATGATGATGCGGATCATGATGATTGGGCTTCACTTTCGGATGTCGACTGGCTCAGCCATCTTCTCTACCTCGGCAGTCCCATCATAACACTATCATCTATATCCTTCATGGTTATTCTGGAAGATTGGTGGGGGCTTGCTATAATGCTCACGCTGATAATCTCACGCATACTCAACATATGGGCTATAAAACAACGCATGACACACTCAGAACCTCCCCCTGAGAGCTTGATCATGACAGAGTATCGCATCGACCTCGGCGGAGGACACAGCGTGCAACTTCGCGGCCCGGATGCAGATTTACAAGCTATCGTTACGCACGCTTGGCTACGTGCACAGTCGGTACTGGAGGGCTACCTTGAAGCAGTGGCTAAGCTGATGGTATACATGTCTGCTGCACTGGGAGGAAATATGACGCAGGCGGGTGCTATTGTGCTTATTGGATTGTTGCTTGCGAGTGCGGCACTGCTAGGGTTGAGTAATGCACATGCTCGAGGTTTCCGTATGCATGGTCGTTATGTGATGCCAGAGAGGAAGAAAGCAAAGATGGTACAGTCCCTTGCTACGAGCAGGAGTAGTATTTCAGCAAGAGTGTAACCATCACGGTAGATTTTATAGATACCTAGTAGTCAAAGAGAATCGAGAACTTGATAACCACCTCTCCCCCTGGGTTCTGCGAGGCACAAGAGGCGAAATTAGTAGGATAGTTTCTACTTAGACCATACTCTTCGGCCATCTTTTCTATTAACTGCTAGCCATCCAAGTCACAGTTCCCGACAGTATCCAAAATTATAATCATTTGTTCACTGTATACCACTGTCAAGATCCGTTGTAGCCTGAGGTATCTGAGCCAAGTTGGCAGTGACAGAGAAGTGCCAGCCAGCTGCACATCAACAAATAAACAGAATAAAACAACATTCACTGCCCAGCACTTCACCTTCTCCTCCCAAATAAAAAAAAACTTCCTTCTTCACCCATCATTCTCTTTCTTCTTCATCTCATGACATCACGGCATCAGCACAAAAGACGCGAAACAGGTGAGTCAGTTCATGCTACTTTGGACTAGGTCTTAGGTCTACTGTCCGATAACCTAACCTGGCATTTAGTCATAGCACAAATCACCTATGACATCGAACCGGGCGGCGATGCTGAGATTGTTTTGAAATTCGGCAACGTCAACACAAGGTCGATCGTACCGTACATCGATAGGGGCGACGTAGATGGGTACCGTGACCCGTTCTATGATGGCGACCATGATCTATTTTTCAATAATCCAACCCTCGATGGAAGATACGTCGCCTTTGACCTTGATGAAGGCCCAGATCCTGATGGAGAGATCCGGGTTGAGGTTCGAATGCGCGTCTCCTCCCGACACCTGATTCTTGCCTCTCGTATGTTCCGCGCCATGTTAGAGGGAACGTGGAGCGAAAATTCCTCTTCTGTCTCTGCATCTGGTCATCGTCAGGTTATTGCTAAGTTCTGGGACCCCGCTGCCTTTGCAATTGTACTGGATGCCATTCATGGACGCTATAACGTTATACCAGAGAATATCAACATTGGACTTCTGGCCCGAATCGCTGTTATAGTCGACTACTACGCATTGCACGAGTGCCTGTGACATATTGTCAACGTATGCATTGACAATCTTCAAAGATCCGGAAAAATGCCTGAGACCTTTTGCAAGAGCAGCCTCATTTGGCTGTCCATATCTTGGGTCTTCTCCCGAGATGACGTGATCTCTCCCATGTCCAGGATCATTCTTAAGGAGATCAGTGGTATCGAAGAAATATGCCCGGGTGCACTTCCTCTTGGTGAAACTGTTAGTACGTTGTCCTACGGGCTTATAGTGGCTGTGGTACTAATGAATAATAGAAAAGATTGATGCCAAGAGACAGAAGCTCATTCGCACATTGATAGATGGTCTAGATGATCTCCGCAAGAGCCTTTTATGCGAACCAATCTGTCTTCGCGACGATTGTTATTGTCCCATCACGATGCTTGGTAGCTTGATTGGAAAACAACACAGACTGGGAATTCTCGACACACCTCCTGTCGCTCCATACAATGGTCACAGCATCTCGAGCTTCATCGCAGAAATAGTCAAGCCGATGTTGACACAGAATCAAATGAGGCATATGACGACTTCCTCTGGCATCTGCTCATGCACCATTAAATGGCGACTGGAGGATCTCTTTGAAAAAATTGAGACAGACATTTCAAACTACCGTTTGGAATGATTTTTGTGCTCGCAAAGTTGGCCTGATATTCGGCAACAGAAGACTGCCTAAGGGATGAAATTGGTAAGTCAGTTTGTGCTATTTGGATCAGACTTCCGAGTCTCTGTACCTTGAAACTTGAGGCTAACTTTTCGGTTGTGCTAGACTCTCGATCGGGATTTGGGTTTAGAAAGAATTAGGTGGTTGTATTAATCATGAAACTTATTTCTTATCATCTTCCTCCTACAGCACCATCTGCAAAACTATGACTATCCAGGGTATTTAACCAAAAGTAATCCAAAACCGGATATCCACCGATCATACAATCATTCGAACCTAAGACTCGTTGTTGCCAGTCTCAGACTCCATCTGGGCCTTGCGCGCAGCGTTAAGAGCCTTGAGCTTGGCAGTACCGAAGCCCAAAACACCACCCTCCTGGTTATCACCCAGCCATGGCTTCTTGGAATCACTGAGCATGCTACCAGTAACAAAGTAGATAAGCTGACCAATGATGATAAGAACAAAGGCAATGGGGTACAGGAAGTGAATGGTGTAACCAAAGACCCGGATACCAATAATGACACCCCAGAAGTTGGCAGTCAACAACGAAATGTTGAGGAAAGCCGCACTTCCCATGCGCAGCATAATGGGAACAAGGATGTAAAAAAGGTTCAGGCACAGTGTGTAACCGACGATCCAGCCGATAACCTTACCGTTCCAGGTAGCGTTATCAAAAGACTCACGGTCAAAGATGGCGGCCTGGACACCGTTGATGCACATACCAAACAGGCCCAGGAAAGACAGGACGTGGTACAAGTGAGCTCGGGAAACGAGCCACTCCTCAAAAACATTGGTGGTACCGTAGAGGGTAGCACCGAGAAGTGCGAACAAGTCACCCTTGACCATGTCAAGACCGTTACCACCGTTGGAACCGGTGATGTGGTCACTACCAATCAAGATACCCATACCACCACAGCAGACCAAGATACCAATGATCTGGAAGACTCTGTAGCGGACCTTGAGGAGGAAGAAAGAAATGACCACGACACAGACAATGGCCCAGAAGTTGATGAGCTGAGCGGACAAGACGTTGGTGTATCGGTAGGCCAAAACAGTAAAGTAGTTTCCCTCAACGTCCAGGAATGCCATGATCAGATACTTCCAACCATCCTTGACAGCAACCTTCCACCAGCCACTGATACCATCCTTGTAGAGGAAGACGGGGGTGTAGATGAGGAACATGAGGATGTAGTTGAAGACGGTCTGGAAGGCGGGAATGTTGGTGCCCGCCTCGGCGAGGAAGCTGGTAAAGGTGTTGGTCGCGGTGATGCACAGGGCAAGGACCTGGCCGAGAGCGAGGACAACCCAGAAGTCGACGGTGGTCAGGTAGCTGTACCAGTGGACAGACTTGACTTCGAGGGTGTGAATGCCCTGGCTAACGGCGACATCTTGGTTGGTAGTCGCAGAGGCGGAAGAAGTTTGGACGGCGTCGGCGGTTGGGCCTTTGGAGTCGCCTACAGCGATGGGTTGTTGGGCAGACATGTTTATTCGAGGGTATCGCAGAGAACTATCTAGTGATGTTAGTCGTCAATTGAGTTTGTGTCTTTTGTCGCAACATACCTCGTAAACCTGTAGCAAACTAATTGATGTTGTATAGAGTAATATTCTCTTGTAGTAGATGAAGTCTTTCTATCGTCTCCAGATGCAGCAAGCGCAAAGACTCAAAGTCGCTCGCTGTGTTCTTATGAACTGACACGGCACATATAACAATGCGCCGAAAGGTATAGGTCGAAGGAAGTCGTTGTGAACAAGATCAACATGAGCTGGGTGGTGTCGTGGGGTATTTCAAGCCGGTCGCGAAAAGGTTTGTCGGAGGCGACTAAGTCGGGTGATCGACAACGGAGACACCGTTTTAAAGCAGCGACGATCTGTTAGAGTCAACTTTCAACGAGATAAAAGAAAAAGAAACTAAAACTAGAATGAGGGCCAGGCTCATCTTATCCTTTTTGCGCCAAAACCCTGTCCCAACTGATCGGGTCTATCATGTGAATGATTTTTTTTTCTTCTTGTCTTTCCCAAGCTTTTAACGGATCCAACCCAGAATCAGACAAGTAGAGCGTCTTATTGGATCAGAGTCTAAAAGTATCCACGATCTATCGGGAGCCAAGAAGCGGTGCCTTACCAGGACAGGTCAAACGTCCTCGAGATGGTGCTTCTTTAATCCTTGGTGGCGGCTTGCGCCAGCGGGTCGGGGAGGGGAGTTCGCCGCGGCGGCAGCCGGGAGGTCAAAGCTCCCCTGTCATACTCTACCAACAGGGGATGTTACAGTGCTTACAGGGAGTGGTTCCACTGAGGACGGAGTGTTGGACGGAGATGAGATGCCTGCTCCAACTGCTCCCAACAGCAATAAGTTATCAAAAGAATCAATGTTGAAAAATAGAGACACAAAGATCAAGGTAGAAGAAGAGTAAGACAGTCGATCTCAGCTGTAAATCAAAGCTATTGTGGCGTCCAATATCTCACCTGAAGGAGGGTCACCAAAAGTCTGGGCTCACAAGGGAATGGACGAGAAGGATGGCGGCTAGTGGATAAGCACGTGGGGGTAACCAACAAATTGGCCGAAACTATCACATCCATCGTGATGCACTTTGTCACAGTTACTCAAGACCTTTCAACGTTGTGTTCTCAGATTGCCGCTCTTAATGCTGATTGTCTATATAAATATCTGCGCACAAAAATAACATTATCCGTACTCTAGCTTCCGCTGTACATATAAGACCTGATACAATGATCGATCATGACTTAGACAAAACACCAGCCATGGCAGCTCTTACTGTCCTTGCAATCCAGACGTTATTTCTTGTCGTACTATTTGTTTCTGAGTCTCTCCCTAGTTCGAATTAAATGTTTGTCACTTTCTTGGGTCAAATACAACGTACGAGACATGAGTGGTAGTTGTGTTGATAAAGAGGTCGTTGTGCTGGGTGGTAAAAGCTCGCGTTCTGGCAATGCTCTAATATTTCGAAGCAAAAGATCTTGGGTTTCCTTTTCTGAATTAACGTTGAGTCTCCTTGAAGCGCTTTCCATGTTGAAATTATTTGCTTTATTTTGTCAGTGATTGTTTGTTGTGGTCAGTCTGGTGAGTGACTAACTTACTCCAATTTGTTGCTACCGGAGTTCTCCGAGTCCCGGTATCTGTCTTCTTGACACAAATAGCTTTGATGATTGGCTACTCCTATACCGTATTTAACAGTCTGTTTTCTTGTAAAAAAGACATAAAAGAGATGAAGGGGGCGAAATGTCACTTGAAGACATCTTCATACTCACTCAAGTCCGTCTTTAAGCCCGTTTATATACCGGGAACCGGGGAGGCACAGCGGCAGAAAGTGGAGACCCCGGCTGCATCTCGTATTTCGTACCGGCAAACAAAGATCCACTTCTACACAGCTTCAACCTATTATCTGCTGCAGCCACCGACATCGCATTATCATGCCAAGATGGGAATGTTCGAATTGAGCCGCAAATTGGGGTTCTTGGAGAAATCAACTTATAACTTTGCGGTGTAAGAGGCACAGAGGAGTGGAGATTTCGACATTTGACTGAGCTTTCAGTGCTGGTCCAATCGTCTCTATGGGCTTGCTATCTTGTCAGGAAGCTATCAGAGGTTAGTTTGTAGCAGCAAATCGACAATAAACAGGACTGGTTCCTCTGTCTGATCACCTCAGTAGTGTTGAAGAGTCATGATGAGTGACTGAGACAATCACCTCTATAGCCATTATTACTTCAACAACCTACTTCTCCCCTTCTCATCTTTGGATACTCCCTTATAACGGATTGGCGGTCTATTCAGTACTGTTTCTTACATATCGTGTCACGGGTCATGCTTCATGATGAATGCGCGTCCTCGTGGTCCTCTGAAGCATGCGCTATCGTTGATGCATGACCCCTTGCGGGGAGACCTTTCGATCTTCCTATTCGCTGAATCTGCTTTGATAAGCCTAAAAGTCAGCCATTTCATCCAATCATCACTCAAGCAGCCCTGTTGTCCCTCAGGGTCCCCTACAACGTCATGCTAGCGTGAAGCTACCTTATCATACTTCCCGTCGACCCGAACTCGGCGGTCACTCTTCCTTCTTCTTCTTCATCTCCATCAACACAAGGCGGATTCATCCTCTTGTGCGACATCATCAATCTCTTCACTGTCTCATTACCCAACATGATTCTCCGGAGTAAAACACTTGCTGCTGGCTCAGCGCTGGTCGCTGTAGCTAGTGCTTCGCAACCTGGAGCTCCGGCGCCTGTACCAGGTCCCATGAGAGAACTTACTTGGGGTCAGATTAACTTTATCCACACAACGGATACACATGGCTGGATTGGCGGCCACTTACAAGAGTACGTTCTTCATCCGTTCCATCACAACCCATGGCTGACTGTCTAGGCCTCAATATTCTGCCGATTGGGGTGACTACATCTCCTTCACCAAGCACATGCGCGACGAAGCCGACAAGAAGGGAGCCGACCTACTAGTCATCGATACCGGCGATCGCATCGAAGGAAACGGACTATACGACGCCTCAACCCCCAAGGGCCTCTTTCAATATGATATCTACGCCGAAGCCGACGTCGACATCATGTCTACTGGCAACCATGAACTTTACAAAGTCTACTCGGCCGATATGGAACACAACACTACCGTTCCCAACTACAAGAACAGCTACCTTGCATCAAACCTCGACTACATCAGTTTCGAAACCGGTGATCGCGTTCCACAAGCCCCACGCTACAAGAAGTTCAAGACAAAGAACCAGGGTCTCAACGTTGTGGCTTTCGGCTTTCTTTTTGACTTTACCGGAAATGCCAACAATACTATTGTTCAGCCCGTGGAACAAACAATCAAGGAGGATTGGTTCCAGGAAGCTATCCGGGAGAAGCCTGACCTCTTCGTTGTGATTGGTCATGTTGGTCTTCGCATGGAAGAATTCAAGGTTATCTACACTGCCATTCGCAAACAAAATTGGCAT